CGATGGGAAAGCTTTTCTGGTGCGTGAACATGTGGGCGGCTACACGTAGGTGGTATGGGTCCTGCAGCAATATGTCGCATAATTCGACCATTCCTCATACCATATTTCCAGCGAACGCTTCGAAGGGAACAAACTTCGAACATGTGTACACGTGCATGCACGCTTTGCCGTTTCATAAATACGCGAAGTAGGTGGGTCGTCGTTTGCTTTCAAAGACAAAGTCGCGAAACGCAAACCGATCCAGGAAATATCGGGATTGTATAGGATTTTATTCCACGACAGGGGATTGTCAAGATCGAAGAAACGCCTGGGACGTGCACACTCTTTGTGTTGTATGTTAGGGAAAATGTGTGTGGAGGAACGTTCGATTTCCCTTTCTATCGGAATATTCTTTTTTTTTCTTTGTTTCTTTCGAACATTTTTTGTAGGCTCCGACAGGTATTCGTATGCTTTTGATGGCTCCTTTTAATTGTTTTATTTAGTGTTTGCGATGCGTCATGGTGAATGATCGTGTTGATAATTGATTATATTAATTGATGCTACTGATGGCTTTCGAACAAGATACACTTTTGACGCGGCTGATCAAATTAAAACCACCTAGGTAAATTTTGTGTTAACACTATTAAGTGAGTTTTAAAATCCTAAATAGACTGAGTGCTTAAACCTTGTGACGAATAAAATGCTCCTAAATAAGAGATTGCTTAATTACTATATTTTACTGTTTAATCAGCTGTATGTACGTATAAATGTATGTATAAATATATGTACACATACACCTAATTTATTTCAAATATTTGATCTGTAATATCCTCAAGCTTTAAAATTCAATTGAATTTCAAACCAGCTATTTAATGTAACCGAATGACAAAGCACAACATCAACGTTAAAAAATGTTTGCATTTCGTATATAATGGAATTCCTATTTCTGCTGGCTCACCGTCGAACAAAACACCTTGTTCAGTTGGATAGAAGCAAACGCGATAACTGATTCTCCTTTGCAACAAAAAAGAGCTGGAAGGGGAAGATCGATTACGCTCAATAAGGAAAACCCGAGAATACGTACGAATCAATCACCGAGCTAGTTGGCGGATTAAGCTTCACAATACTCTGCTATCACCTGTATCGATCGAAACCGTTCGACAAAATTTTCTATACATAATCAATTTCAACTGAGATTGCTTCTCAAAGAGTTCCATGACAGATGAATATCGACTATTTCCAATTCACTCTAAGCTTATTTCGATCATTTTTATACGAACTTAGCTACTGTGCTTACGGTGCAAACGCGAATCTAATCTCGGAGCCAAGATCTTCTAAGATGGTCACGTTCGATGTTATCTTTGAGTCTGTGATCGGTCGGTGGGAGACGCCGCGAGAATTTGTTGCGTTTTGTTAAATTTTACAGGTTGCACATTTTATGGAATTTACAACCCTTAAAATTTGTGTTTCTTTTGTATAAAATCTTGCTTGCATCTATATTTGATGATCTGAATACTGTATGCAATGAATTTATCACTTTCAGAATGTCTATACTTTGTCACAGTGACCGCCATGTTCATATGTGAACTCATATGTGAAACTCAGTTAAATTAATTATTTACAGAAAAAACAAAGAATATAAACATTTCAACATTCTCAATATTGGTACAATGATATATACTAACGAACTGAAAGATGAAGATAGAAGATTAAATACCCTTAATCTATATTATAGCATGTCTGACCACAAAAGTCTGCTTTCACTGTGGCAATCAACCTATACACTTACAATTTTAAATAACATGAACTGTAATTTTATAATATAATACATCGTGATGAAACGAGTGTTCAGAATGACTCGGACCTTGACCATGATTCAAGAAACGAATATTAAATTCAATTTGTATCGTAGACGTGCGACGCAGAGAAACGACGCGTGTTTCCATCTCGCGGATTTCCATAAGTGACTTATGGTCAGTGGGTATTACCCCCATGTGTTGGGGTGGGCCGGTCAGATATCTTTGATGTGACGTTCGCATAGGGATTCAAATGAGGGATGGTCGTTATGAGGCCGGGTGTAGAATATCATGCCCGCGTATTTGGTTTCGCACCGGTCGTGCTACACCCGCGCAGGCCCGCTTTCATTACAGCCCCGAATTAGTAACGAAAGCTCAAGACAGCATGCAAATTGCCGCATTATTTTGAAAAATTAGTCCATCGCCTCTTGGATACTCAAGTACCCAAGGATTTGCTTTGTTTATCATTGACATGGTATCAACTGGTGAATTTTAAATCACACACAATTTAATATTTCATGGAATAAAAATATTGCAAAATGGCTGTAAAACTTGATGTTTGCTAAAAATGACTACAAACTCACTTGTCATTGGTTCGTTTTAACTAATTCAAGAAGAATAATGAGTTAAAATTGTAATTCATTTGTGAATGTACACAATGACAGTGAATAGGTTAATATGAAGTTAGGTTAGGTTTCCTCAGTTACTACAAACATTTCAATTTTTTTATCACGTCTTACGTGAACCTACAAAGAACCTGATAGATAAAAAATGATGCTTCTGCAATGAAATATGAACATAGTTAAAGTATTCTACTTTTCCTATTGTCTATTATTTTTTAACTTTTTTACATAACCTAAAAAACTTGCAAAGTCACTAAATCTCAATATCCTCTTTTCCAAAAATATTTCTTTTACGGCTTTAAATGGATATCGTATTATCAGTAAACAATTGAACGACATTTAAAAGCCATGCACAAAAATATACTGCGCAAACAAAGTTATTTGTTCAGAGTTTCAACGTCGACAAGCATTAAACGTTCAATTGTTGATCGAAAATTCCCTCGATCACGGTAGAAACAACAGCCGGATCATGCGTCAACATTACGCAGAAACCTTATCAAAATAGCACGTATTCGACGCTCGAAAACCCGTACACGTCAAAGTATTCGAAGCAACAGGGGAACCTAGCGCACCCATGAAACATAATCCCAGATTTCACGCGAAGATTATCAACGATGACCATCGAGGGTGACCAAAATGGAAGCGGCGAAGGGTCGTATGCTGTCCAGTTACGATTTTTCATTCGTAATTAACTGTCACCGACGAATGAACGGTCAAGTAATCAAAACGGAAACAGAAATCCATCACGTGTTCGACGTTTCAATGTGAATATTTTGAATTACATACTTTTCACGTTATTCTATAGAAAATGCTATAATACTTAACATCAAAAACATTCGTACTTTGGTATACATTCTTTTAGGAATTTGTATGCATTCTTTTAAAAGGAATTTTTAAAAATGTCTGTTAAAACAAATTTTAAAGTTGCATAAATTGTTAGAGGGTTTGATTCAAGACTGATAATTGGCATTTTAAGAGATGAGGTCTCTCAGAGCTCATGAGCAGTGCTTGTTAACAAAATGGAGGACAGTGATGAGACACAGAGCAGAGAACGACATCTGAAATTCCAAGAGTTCAAATTTAGAATATTGAGAGTTTGACAACTCAAGAATTTTGAAATTTGACCACCTGAAAATGTAAAAATGTATAAATGTTAAAATCATGAAATTAATAAAAAGTGCCGACTCCCAAATTACTCCACCGATTAATTCCGTATACGAACGTTAAAAAAATTGCGTAGAATCCGCAATTCTGTACCTTTCCGTTTCCCCGGCAAGGTAATAAATGCGTCGGTTACCATTCGTCGACACGGCGCGCATAATAACGAGGACAACGAGGATTCCCCTTCGACGATTTCATTTTTCGCGGTCCGCTCGGTGCGCGGAGCGTTTCTCTGCCGCGAACGAGCGTGAAAAGCGGTCCCCTATCAGAAGGCGGCGGGTTTTATCAGATAAAGTCGCGCTATCGGTCTTGGCAAATAAGGGAACGCTGACAGTTCGACGATGACACACAGTGCCGGTTGTTACGAAGGCGTACGTGCCGCGACGGCTATTTTTTCTCGCTCCCTTACCCCCGCGTGTTCGTAATTTCAGTTTCGCCCAACCTAGCTGCAAGGACGAGAACAACCAGTCGAGTGAGTAAATTCAGCACGATCGATTTTAATGTATTCACCAATGTATGCGTGAACGCTTCCCTGTGATCTCATTTTGTCGCTGTGATCGAATGTTTCTTGTCCCGGAAATCGACCATCAATACGAATTAGTTTCTTCCTTTTTGATAAAATTTCTTCATTGTATAGTGTATAATGATTTTATAAGACGCTACTGTTGAATGAATTGGGTGCATGGTAGTTGTAAATTGTACTTAAAGAAATGTATGTATTTCTGATATATCAGATCTTTGTTACACTAAAAGCTGTAGGTGCAAGCTAGCTGCAAATTGTACTAAAGAAAATGTATATATTTGATCATTCCAATTAATGATACATTGAAAGATTTACTAAAAAGTTTTGAGTACAAACTAAACATAAATTGTACTTATAAAAATATTTCTGTTGCATTACATCTTTGTTACACTGACTTTGTTACACTTAATTATGACAGTCCATAATGTGATCATATATGATCAACCTTTTAATGAAAGCTCTGCATGCAAAATGTAAATTAAGTACAATTTCAAGTTACATTTTTGTAAATTTCATACATGAATATTATTGTAAATATAGTAAGCTGAAAATTGTTGTTTCTGTTGCAATTTCGAGTTGCACTCAAAGCATTTATCACCGACATGTCACGCAGATTATTTTTAAGATTTATTGTTATGACTTCGAGCAACCTTAAAATTTCCAACTTCGAAATAGCAGTCTAACGACCGTCTAATCTACCTCGACTGATAACCGACAACTGATTAAATATTTTTCTTATCTGCCACGAGACCCAGATTATTGTTCACGACCGGCTTTAACCGTATCTTACGAAACGCACACCGTTTAGATCACTATTTCTCTTTAAAAAAATTCCGTCCGTTAAATTGAAACGTAAAAACATGAATCGAAAGTATAAAAGGATTCAATTTGCAGGTATAAAAGTAAAATCGACTGATCATGGATACCCTATACCCGAATCTGCACGAGAGATTCAAAAGCGAGGGTCTCTGCCCTATTTGCCTGTTGGAAATGGAATTAGCACCCAGATACACTTGCACAAACGGACACACGATTTGTTATCGTTGTAAACCGTACTATTATGGCTGTCCCACCTGCCAGGCACCGTTAGATATGGAAACACCATCCTCTCATCCGAATCCACCTTATCCGCCACCGCCTTCTCATTTCTTGCCTCATCGTCTACCACCGAAATTCCACGAACATCATCCGACAGCACCGATAGATTTCCATGAACACGAGAGAAACTGGTTCCCACCCCGACCCAATGAAGACCAAGAATTAAGGTCTTGCTCGTACGCTCATTTGGGATGCTGGGTCAAAGTGCCCATTCACTTGGCAGACCTTCATGAGTCACGGTAAGATCAAATCAAAATGAAATTTTTTATTGTTACAAAATGCAAGATAATTTATGTACTTTATATGTTTTGTTTGGGGAAAAGTGCAAATATCCTTTGATGAGTATCTTTGATATTTTGTACTTGTATGGTATGCACTTGTATAGGATTACTTATGATACATATATGTATATGTATGTGCATATGCATATGTATATGTATATGTATATGTATATGTATGTGCATATGTATATGTGTATGTATATGTATATGTATATGTATGTGCATATGTATACATATGTGTATGTATATGTATATGTACATATATGTGTATATGTATATGTATATGTATATGTACATGTACATGTATATGTATATGTATACAGGGTGTCTCACAATTAATGTAGGTCCCGGAAATACATATGTGGTACTGTAATATATGCACAGTTATAGTATCATGTATAACACATATGAAGTACAAGTATCAAAAAATACAATATAACAAATTTTGACACGAAATAAACAGAAGTATATTATCAAGTTCATACACATTTCAGATGTCAATTTCGACCCCACCTGGAGGAGGAGCACCTTCCAACGGATCTGGTGCATAAACACGACGATTTGGTCGAGTGCAGATATCGATCGGTTGGTTGCAACGTGAGAACAACACCCTGGAGGACTTCGATCCACGAGAAATATTGCATATACAAGGATCGTTCCGAGGGTTTGAGCGAAATTACCGAAGGACTAGAACAAACGTCGATCACAGACCAATATGGAGACCCCGAGGAATTGGTGGAATGTAAATACAGGAAACACGGTTGCATGGTGAACATGCCGAGAAGGAGGAAAAGGATGCATCAAGAAAAATGTAACTACAGAAAATACGATAGTCAGGAGGATGGATCCTCGTCTGAAAGCGAGTACGATCCTAATGAGCAAGTATCCTGCAAATGGACGGAATATGGATGTAGAGTGAGACCGAAGAGGAGCCGCTTGGAAGCGCACGAGGAAAAATGCAACTACAGGATGGAGGAATGCGCTTTCAAGCATAACGGATGCGAAGCTTTGTTTCATCCGTCCAGGAAGTTTGCGCACGAGCGGGGCTGTCAATACGCTGATTAAATTTCGTCTGAAATTAAATATATTTTGTGCGAGAGTATATGTACGAGTGAGCTAACACTATTTTTTAACGCGGTTTTAAGAGGAAATTTGGTCGATGGTGAAATTGGTCAAGTTTGCAATTCAAGCATTAATATTGAAGTTTTTGTTTCCATGTTTCAGAATTGCTAAGTTTCTCAATTTCTATGTTTGGGGTTGTTGGAAAATTGAAGAACGTGAGGATCTGAAAGCTTGTATTCCTGCGTATTCAAGTCTCTAAATTTTCATATTGTCAGATTTCTGAGGTTGCAAATTTTCAAATTTCCTAATTTCCTAATTTCCAAATTTACAAGTTTCCAAATTTCTAATATTAAATTTCCCAATACCCAAATTTCCCAATACCAAATTTTCCACTACCAAATTTTTCAATACGCAATTTCCCAATACCCAAATTTTCCAATACCCAAATTTCCTAATACTAAATTGCCTAATACCCAATTTCCCAATACCACATTTTCCAATACCCAAATTTTCCAATATCCAAACTTCCAAATACCAAATTTTCCAATACCAAATTTCCTAATACCCAAATTCTCCAATACCCAAATTTCCCAATATCCAATTTCCCAAAACCTAATTCCCAATACCCAATTCCTCAATACCCAATTTCCCAGTACCAAATTTCCCAATACCCAATTCCTCAATACCCAATTTCCCAATACCAAATTTTCCAACACTTAAATTTCTAAATCCCAAAATTTCAAATTTTCAAATTATCAAACTTCTAAATTATAATCCTGTACTTGTCGACTGATATTCAAAAGTGCAATATAGAGTATATATCATCAGTTAATAAATAAGTTTAATAATTTTGCGAGATGAATACACAATTCCATTAACATATATGCTGCACTGTTATTTCACGGTCCATAATCGAAGCTTTATTTATGCGGTGCGTTTCGTAATACACTAGCAGGCGTTCTTAATCTTGCTGGCGCATAACGGGAAGACGTACAAGCTGCCTTGGTACCTGGAACTATCGATTCCAGCATACATCGTTCCAGAAGTCAGTTCAAATACACTGAATACCACCCCATTAATTACGTTACCTTCAATTAGGTTGCTTTGAAAGAAACAGGTAAAATTTTCAATAAACAAATATAAATTTCTAAATGACATGGTTTTAAAAATTAACTGCAAATTATTACTAAATATTACTCTATAATATATATATATACGTGTATATTTACACACATGGTTCCATTGGTTCAATTACCAAAAATTAACTTGAAATTGATTGATTGATTGATTGTTTTTATATGGGCCTCTACTGCTATGATCATTGGGCCAACTTGAAGTCGTAAAAATGAAATATTGTACTCTTATAAAATTTTGGACACGACCTTATTAATTATTAATCTCTGAAGTAACTCAAATTTAATTTAACTAGAATTTTACCTATAATAAAGTCGTTATATCCTAAGAATAATTGTACAATTTTTTCAAGAATAAAATTGTTGAATTTAAATATAAAAATTATATCTTTATAGACCTGTTACCTATTACTCTATACAGTAGTTAGCTTCACATTAATAAATGTTATGCAACTATAACGATTATTCTACTGCACATTAATGATTATTTATCCACGCAGCGATTATTCAGCCAATCAAAATTAGAAGATGAATTCCAATAATACCATTAATCTACCCAGGCAATAATCCATCTTGTATGCTTGTCACTGTGCACCAAGAAGTTTAGAAATTCCAGGGATCCAAGAACTCCGAGGATTACACGAGTGAAAGGATTATTTGTTCCTAGCATCCCCATTGTGCATCCCTCCGCCCCTCAGGGTTGTATCGTCCACTTGATAGTGAAACTTACACCACCATTCGAGGGATGATCTGGAGCATGATCGCCTGGAATGAGGGAACGATGGCGTGGCTGGGATATCGAACACCTGGAAGCTAATGGTGCAATCTCCCTAGCTGCTAATCATCGCACCGTTTGTTGCCGCTGCAACACCGGAGCTTTATGGCGACCATTTATTAAGGCTACCGAAAAAGCTTGGGAACCATCTTAAACTACGTTTGGGCAACTACTTATATACTATAACGATAAATCGAGTTGAAAGCGTTTATGCCAACGATCACCAAACCTCTAAATGGGGCTTTTTATAGCGATAATGGTTCGTTCAGAATGCACGTGAAAGCATTAGTGCTGGAGCGGCGAAATACCGAGTCGAGATTGATCGCTTCTTCGATATCTGAGTATCCTAAGTGCAGCTACGAAACATTTAAAACTTCTTAAATCCCTTCCCTTACAACTTTACGAAGTTCAATTTTTATTTTAACAAAGTTTTATTTAGAGTTCGTTTATTTAGAAGAAATGAAAAGTTTTGTCCTTTATGAAGTTCAAAGGAAATTAGAATTTTTCTTATGGAACGAAATTTATTTTTATGAAGTTCAAAATTACTTGTATTCGAAATGTACAAATGCAAAGTAAATTTCAAGCTGAAAAATAAAATTTTCAGTTTGTTATCAAATTTTTTTTTATCAAGTTTGTACGAAAAATCTTCAAGTACTAATTGAAATAAGTAATTTATTTTTTATTCAAAGAGAAAAGATAAATATACTGCAGTAAATGAAACTACTACGCTTATTATGTCGTAATGACAATAATTTAATAATATTGCATTTTTAATGTGTCTGAATGTATTAGGTGACATGTTAATATGTCTTGACTTTGATCACGAAAATTTTCGCTCTCCAGCGAAAGAAAAAAACCAAGCGAAAAATACGAATGCGGGTTGGAAAGATTCAACGATGGCCTACATGAAAATCTCAAAAGAATCCGGAGAGCCGGGAATACACCTTTTCAGATACTACATAAATATCGAACGGACCGGAAAACGATAAACTCTTGTCCGTTCACAGTCCACAGAAGCCGTCACCGAGTCGGACAGAACTTTAACGTTCAAGGGTGACCCAAGCGATGGACAAAAGGGAATAGAGACTGTTTTACATAGTAAAGACCAAGGAAGACTACCAGCACCATCACCGTTGCCCAACCGTATTCTTAAAGAGGATACTCGCTTCTGAAATGAGCTGAAAATTCTCCACAACACTCACTCGAAATGTTTCTCTCGCGTTTCGTTTCCTAAGATATTTCGCCGAATTTCGAGGTTCAGGAACTTGAATAGTTCACGATATTCTGATACAATTTTATTATCATGTTTTTCAATAAAAATGGTATGTGAGCAATTTATTATAGAATGTTATACTGGTGTGTTTAAAAAAAATAGAACATGATAATGATGTTAGAGTTATACATAAGAAATGACATATGAATTTATGGGTTTTTTGATGGTAGACATTCAAACTCATCAAAATGACAACTTCCAAAATAAATTTAATTTTTCAATTTCATTTTTACAATTAAATTGACAAGCACAAATTGTTAACTTGCTTTTGCTAAAATAACGTATGTATTTTTATTTTTATCCAAATGAAACATGACTACATATGACTATGTCACGTGTGACTACATATGACTATGTCACATGTTACTACATATGACTATGTCATGTGTGACTACATATGACTATGTCACATATGACTACATATGACTATATCACATGTGACTACATATGACTATGTCATGTGTGACTACATATGACTATGTCATGTGTGACTACATATGACTATATCATATGTGATCACATGAGACTAAATCATATGTGACCACATATGACTATGTTACATGTGTCAACATGTGACTATGTGTACATACATGACTTCATCATCTACTTCGAATCTAAAAATTAACTAACAATAACAATGAGACTAACTCAAAATTCCTCTGCATTTTCTAAAAATATCAAAATCTCACAACTCTGCTTTTCACACATGAATTTCATATATGAAAATTTTTGCCAGAAAAAATAGTTGAGGTGTTAAGATCTGCAACAGGAGCACAAATAAATCAAAGTTGAACGATGAAAGACAAAATCAGTAAGCGAGTTCAAGTTTGCAATTGAAGGTGTAGGTGAGCAGATTCCGCTGGTGTGAGTGAAAAAGGGTGGGTAAGGGGTGCGAGTAAATTGCACCCCTGGGGAACAGATCTGTGGAGTGGCACGAAGGGCCACGGTAAGCCAGAAGTCAGCCAACTTTAATTAAGACACAGGTGTCTCTTCCTTATAGATACCAGGCTTCTTACAGAAAAATGTACGATATAACTTGTATGCCACGATTAAAAGAAAAAATGATTTTCAGATAAAAATATTTACAATTCCAAACAAAAGTCTTCGCGTGTAAAAACTTTTATATTTTCTCCTATCTCTTGCTAAATATAAGAAGAAACATAAAATTGCAAGAGCCAATTTGCATAATAGCTTAAGTTGCTTCAAATTAATACAACTTAATTGTACAAAATTATAAATGATATTAAGGATCAAAATTATAAATGATGTTCATGTTCAAAATTATAGATGATATTCATGTTCAAGATTATAAATAATATTAATGTTCAAAATCATAAATGATATTCATCTACAAAATTATAAATGATATTCACGTTCAAAATTAGAAAAATATTCATTTAGTAATTTAATGAGATTATAAAGTAACATCCAATGAAATTACAAAGTAATATATTGAATGATATCACAAATGCAATTTAAATTTTACGGAAATCTCTCGCTAAATCATATCTTCATCTTCTGAAGAATCCCAGAAAAGATGTTAACATATACAGAAGTGACTTTAATAGCGAACAGGGAGTTTTTGCCGAAAATTCAGATACAATATCCCAGCCACAATGCCGACTGATGGCTAACCCAAGAATCACCTTAATGCATGTATTCATACGGTAAGCTCACGCTTTGAATCAGAAATATAGATAGAATCACTGTAACGGGGATTTTGACACGGATGAACCCTTCTTGACAAAGCAACTATGCCACGTGAGATATCTTACAGTGATTTCTTTTAAACACTGTTCAAATAACAAGAACCTTACTGCGATATCCCATTGTGTCTGTCACACCCTTTGTAAAGGCTACTGGGCCGAAAGAAATAAAAGACTTTCTTTGTTACAGAAAACATTCTATATACAGAATTATTGTGTACGAGTCTCGTCGTTGTGGGACATCTAAATTATTTTTGTTATTATTTATTTATACTAGAAGCTTATTTCGAGTTCAGTGATG